TTCTCCACTCCTGGGTCTCCACGCTAGTCTAAATCTCCAACACAATGAAATTCTCCTCCGAACAATCTCTTTTCCAAAAACACTACTGGTCACGGGGCAGCTGTATCACAAGTGATGACTGCCAGTTATCTTCACACCTTCTTCCCTGATTATCGGTCATAATGGGGGTTACTCGGGGGCACTCGTCATCGATTGTCCTTTTCTTCTTAGTTATTCCTTGAGGGTCAGTTGAGGGATGTCTCTTTCTTCTCCGGGTCACGTGGTGTCCAGTCTCTTCGTGGGGGGTTTTCTCCTTTTAGCCAGTCTGCGATGAGTGCGGCGTCGAGGGGAAACGGGGGGGGGGGGGGTTTCTTCTTCATCGTTGTCGTCCTTCTCCACGGTTAATGTGAGTACCGGGGCGAGGGGAAATGGGATAGGGGGAAGGAGTATCTCGCGAATGGGTTATCCAACGGTGGCAAAAAAGAGTAACTTAAACCTAACTTAGCCTAGGAAAAATAATAAGTATTAATTAGGGGGCATGGGGGGGGGGGGTGCAAAATTCTGCCTCGTCACAATATGGTATATTTGCATTCTCGCTGTACAGTTCACAATACTCATCTACATCTGTTCCATTCTCCCATTGAAATCTGGACAATTTTTCATATTTTACTCGAAAATAACCTGTTTTTTTGGCATTTTTTCGTTTTTCTTTCTCGAAATTAACTCCTATTAACGTCACATTGATTCCTTTACTATTATTAGCCTAGAATGCAACGTGATTTATCGGTTAGGGTTATTATGGAAATTAAGCCTTTCCATCTTTTGCATCTTTCAGCAAAATGGTAACCGAACTTTCTGCATTTTTTTCATGACTGCATGCCCACACAATGTTTTAGTTTGTTTTTTTTCGGGGCGAAGTCACGAGTTTCCATATACATTTACCGTTTGATCCTTTCTTTTAGCTTTTATAGCAAAATTGACTATTTTATTGTATTCTGTTTTAGAATGTCGCAAAGCGACACTTACAAAGGCCAAAAATTAGAGCAAATGTACGTAAAGTAGAAAAAATTCAGATACTATATTTTTCGTTACTTTTTAGATTTTAAATTTATGTTTATCTATTTTCCCTCTTCGGAAGGAAAAGTCCAGACTCTCCGAAAAATCGACGTTGAAGGGACGAAAGTGGAAGTCGGTGCAATCCTCATGTTGCCAAGCGAAGAAGGCTCAATACTTCATAAAGTAGATACAATTCTTGTTCAAAATCCAGACGAAATTTTCTTTATTGTTAAGACACTGGAAGGTATTTACTTGGATGAACATCATGATTGCTTTGCACAGAACCAAGAGGCTTACTCGTGGGCGATTTTAGATTTAAGTCATTTACATAGCGGTATCATAACAAGTTTAGTTCGCGCCTTTAATGGTGCAAAATTTATAATTAAAAAGTGGTTATCAAAAGAATTTAATAAATTTTACTTTTTCAAAAAATAATATATGTATGTCTTTTGGTGTATATTCCCTTTCCTTCCTCTCCGTAGATACAATCAATTACTCAATGTGTGTGTTTCATTGGGAAATAATTATTCTCTACGGCCAATTTAAAAATTCGAGCGGAAAGGCATAATTTTTATTTGGTTGATAAAGAAATTTTATGACACGAGCACAGTAATTTTTCTTCCACAGTGATACAGTTTTCCTGTATCTCGCTTGGTAAAAATTAAGGTTAAGGACATGACTTTTTTTATCTCGCTTGGTAAAAATTAGGGTTAAGGGCATGACTTTTTCTCGTGCGTGTGCTTTGCACCCCCATTCCCGATGAGCACAGTAATTTTTCCCCGATGTCTGCAGCAAAAATTCATTGAATCTTTTCTCCGTGTATAGTTGTGTCACTATGGTGCTCTACTAATAGCACCATACCAAGTTGTACAAAGATGCATGCTCCGTCTAGACAATGTACAAGGAAAGGTTAACCAATTTTTTTTAGCTTAAGCCTCTTTCTCCACTATAAAACGTTCGATGTATAGGTTCCGATTTTCATTGACGTGGAAGTAATAGTAGTGTGGACTTGGTAAATGACCAATGTACCGCACTTTACAAAATTTTCCTGACTTATGTGCGATCTAGGTTCACATCTCCTTATCTTTTCTGATAAGTGAAAAGAAAAATTGTGAATTAAAATTATCCCTTATAAATTCCCAAACGCATGACATCATTTCAAATCGAAATCATACCAGTGTTCAGCATTACCCATGGTTCGTGACGGAGACGCAGCCCGTATCAATTCATAGATCATGTATGGTCAGGTCTACATCTTCATCTAGTTGGGAACGACACAATTTTTGATTTGATCTCACTAACAATCGGCGTCCATTAAACTGGAGCCATACTCGACAGGAACAAATTGAAAGAGCAACCGCTGGTAGGTAGTATTTCTGGGATGGGAGATACCTTCGCTTTAGCTCTTTCTCATGGTTGTGCAATCTCCACCATCGCTAAATTGTTGAATTTAGACAAAAGTTGCGCGTAACTTCCTGTCTTATCCAACTGTCTTCCTGTGGTGTTGCTCTTTACGGGATTTCTTCGTGATTTGCCGGAGAAGTTGCGGGTTACATTCCAGGCTGTCAGCGATGATAACGTAGCCGTCACCAATTCTTAAACAAAATCGCACTTCTAAAGACAGTTTTCAACGCAGAGCATAGGGTAGCGTATGCTAAGCATATGAAAAACACAAAAGATTCCCAGTCAAGTAGCCTGAGGCTTTACTATACTCAAGGTTTAGCCAAAGGCTCACCTGGAATTAGACGATAACTCTATCTTCTGTTCAGTGACGGGCTCTTTGGACCCTCAGTCTCTAACCGAAGTCAGCCATACCTGGGGTACAAATGGTTCATAAGTTTATCCCTCTTGCCCTCTGCAGTCGATAAAGGTGGGTTCTGCCCGTCTGTTCGCAAGTAAAAGGACGTTCTATCCCATCTATTAGTATGTATTCTATCATGAAGTCCTGCAGGCTTTCCTTGTTCCATCGGTATTGGAGCTTTTTCGCTCTATATCACGCGAGTTTTAGAGCATTATTGTCTATATTTTATTTCAATAATTAACATTTCATTCCTTTCCACAATGATTTCAAATATTTTTCTTCAAACCAGGCTACAAATCATCGGGAATTAATGGAAATCGTTATGATAGCATTGACTCTCTTCATAGCTCAACATTCTCGTTTTTTCCAGAAGTCCGAAGAAAGGCTCTACACCACCGGTGCAAGTAGATCCAACAGGAAGGTTTGGCATCGGTATGGGTTTTCAGTTAGAGCCTCAAGGCCCTTCTATCGCTGCAGAAACTATGGAACCCGTTAGGCCCCTCATTCCGCAATTACCAGCTCCACAACTGTACAATCCTGTAGCTACCACTTTCTCAGCTGCTCTGAGGTGCGATCTCTGTGGAGTAACTGCTAATCGTTTAGAACAGTTGGAGACCCATAGACGGGGCACGAGACATCAGAAAATGTTGCGATTAAATGGGATGATTCCTGCAGAAACTAGTAAGTACCTAAAAACTATGACCAAGGAGACTTTCGAATTGTGCATTCTTGACATCTTTATTCTCAAATGATAGAGTGCTCAAATGATAGAGTGGTAATAATGGCATGTGACAAGAACCAATAATTTCATAGAAAAATAAGGAAATCAAATAAAAAATGTAGGATTCGGTGAAGAACCGAAACATTTGATAATGTGAAACACCCCGACTTAATGTATGAATCAAATACTCAACTCAACTTCAACATCAACTCAAGAGATTCGTAACAATGCAGCGAAAAAGCTAATGGTAATGGTATTGAGTCCAACTTTGATCTCGTGGTAGCTGCACCTATACGATGATGAGCGCTGAGAGTCCTGCTTTTGGTGATGTTACTGGTGTAGTACCAGGGATTGGCCGTTGCGAAAACGGTGACAAAGTATCGTTAATACCGCTATCAAGGGAGAAATTTTGCGCGTTTTTTCCGGCTTGAACCTTTGTTTTCTCGCGTTAAGGGCCGCGAAACAGTATCAATAGTGGCAGATTTATGAACATACAAACAGCGGGTGGTTCAAACTAAAATTCCACCATAACTGCATTAACAGGTAAATTGTGTTTTCTAAAAGAATGTTTATCTAGAGGGGGAAGGTATTTGAACCATTTCTCATTACACTATTTCTCTCTTTAATTCCTTGAATTCTAGTTCGTTCATATCCAACAGGTTAGCTCTCGCAGCTTCTTTTGTTGCTGTTGTTGGGTCTAAATTTCTTGGAAACACAAACACTAAGGGGACTTATTAACACAACAATAAGGGGACTTATTGTTGCTGGCAGTGAAGAAAAATAGTTAATTCTATCGGTTAAATCAATCACTTCATAACTTCAACACGCTTCTATTGTCCTAATCGTTGTTAAACTAATTGATGAATTTCCAACGATAACCTGTATCCTCTGCTTGTTCATGTGGTTATTAATAGATTTTATATTCTATTTGGAGGTATTAACATAATTCGATGGAATTTTAGTTTGAAACACTTGCCGCTTGTATCTTTATAAATGCGCCAGAACTAATACTGTTCCGTGCGTCCTAACGAGAGAAAAAAAGGCCCGGGTGGACTATCCATTGAATGTCATCTTTTGTTTAAATTTGATCTTTTTAGCCTAAAATTCATTAAAATTTGGGATCAAATTTATGTTGCGGGAGCTAGTGGAATGGTTATAAAAAAATAATAAAAATTACGCAGCTTACCATTGCTCTTCAGAAGATTGAGTGACAGCTAGATGCAATAGTAAGCTACGTATTTTTTATTATTTTTTTGCAAATCTGGTAAATCCTTTTTAAATAATATCAATCTTTTGCACCCTTTCATAGTTTTCCCTCTTTTTTTTCATTATTTTTTTTATAACCATTCGAGTAGCTCCCGCAACACAAATTTGATCCCAAATTTTAATGAATTTTAGGCTAAAAAGATAAAATTTAAACAAAAAATACCATTCGATAGATAGTCCACCCGGGCCTTAAAAAGATAAAATTTAAACAAAAGTCCCACGTTCGATAGAAAGTCCACCCAGGCCTCAAATTGGAAAAAACTGGCAAAGTTCCTCTCCAGTACCCACCGAGTCACTGTCATTTGTCTCATCTTCGGCAATTGTAAGTACTGGCTCAATATTGTTCATGGAAATGTCAATTTCTAGGCAATTAATTTAAAGGACTACGATGTACGGTGCACGATGTACAAATGGCTCCTCAATCTATCGGTGATTCTTGGTAGCACTATCTCCCCAAATGACAAAAACTGGTGTTTTGTAAAAAAACTGAGCCAAGTAAAAGTTTCACTCAATTGATTCTGTAAAAAACTCGTGTTTTGCCAAAATATAGCGTTCCTAGAAATTAAAATAAAATCGGAAAATGTCAGTGAAAACGCCAAGAAAAGGAATACGACTTACTTGGCGCGGTTTTTCCCAAGAACTAGAGTTAGAGCCAAAGATTATCTTCGGTCACTTTTAACTATTAATCAAATTTCATTTTAGCATTATCCTGTAAATAAAATCGCGTCAAGTAAGTTGGTCCTGCCTCTATTGATTTTTTAATTTTCATTATTGAATCCTTTTAATTGAGTCGTATCACTTTTCTGAGCGTTTTCGTCTACATTTTCCGATTTTTTTTTAATTTCTAGGAACGCCATATTTTGGCAAAATACGAGTTTTTCACGGAATCAATTCAGCAAAACTTTAAGTTGGCTCAGTTTTTTTTACAAAAACACCAGTTGTCATTTGGGGAGATTTTACTAATTTTTTCAATATAAGTAAAGAATTATTTTCACGTTTTCCAAATTTTTGCCACCCACATCACGTTTTCAGTTCATTTGAAGTATATTATTTGCATGATTTTTTACATGATACACAATGTGTTTCAATAATTTAAAAAACTCCTTTCTGCATTTATGTCTGTATTAGACAGAATCAATTTTTTTTTAATGTCGAAATCTCGAAATTCATACATCCATTAACCTCCAAAATTGACTTCAGTCACATGTGTAATTATACGCATAAATCGGTCAAGAACTGCGTATAATTTTCCAACAAAACGCAAAGCTAATATTTGTTACCATAAAATAAACAATTATAATTATGGAACTAAATAAAAAACCTAAAATGCGAGGGAAGAAATAAAACACTCTCCTCTGTTTCCGTGTTACAATTAAACGGTTTGAATACACGGATGGCAACATCTCAACGCCAAATTTGGCCCAGGTTAGGTTGGATCGTATGGTGTTGGAAGCACAAATTCTCCGGGTGGACGGCGTCATTCATCATTAATGATATCATCTGCGACTGCTAAGAAGCACGGCGTAGATAGACTATTAGTATCTAGAGTGTTAATTACAACGCCTACACTTCTAGCGATGATGTCGTAATTTGGGAATATCACGGGCACACCGGGGCACCGAGGTAAATGTGCTATGAACGGCACATTTAGTCGTACAATCTCCACGTGGATGTGTTCAAAATGTTGTCGTTTTCAACTGGAAAAATATTGAATCGATTAGGTGACGTGACACCATAATATGTCCTTCGAGTATGGTATGGTAAGATATGCGCGAGTTTAAAGACGATAATTTTTCTTCAAACCCGGTCAGACAAAACATTGACAGACGAGCTTCCCTTATGCGTTAGACCCTGGATAGCTGGAACTATGAATCATATATACATCTTACAACATATATATATCTCATACAACATATATATATCTTCAATGTCACAGTGAATTGGTGTTACTGACCGATAAAATCAAGGCGGCCAAATTGCCATGCGGTACCTTTCTCGGGATCCTGCTTGAAGGCATACAATAACGATTTACAGTTGATATAAATGGCCACATGATGGCTTCCAAAAATGCGTCTGAATATACGAACTACTCCTTACATTGTATGGAGCTCTCGGTCATATGGAATATAAACATATTCCTCAAGCAATGGTGAAGCTTCTGGTTGAAGCAGGTAAGCAGCTCCCAGAGTGCATATCTGTGATGCAAAAGGAAGGCTGAAACGGTAAACTCAGATGCATCAGTAAATGTGTGATTCCACGGAAATAATGATTATCACGACTTCACTCTTTTTATCATCATTACAAGATAATACCTACTACTAAGGGAGAGCAAATCGGGGCTGATGACTAGATTTTTAAAAACACCCCGTCGATTCTAACTTAACTTTAACCAATAAAATCGAATGCAAATTCAGAAATTATTTCCATTGGTCCAAATTGCAAATTTTGTACGTGGTTTCTAAGAATAAAAAAATATACGTAAAAAAAAACATTAATTTCTTTATATTGTATTTGTCTATTAAGCACTCTTTAACTACCTTGTCTTCTTTCGTAGATACTCCAAGTGAACATGTATCAACAACAACAACGACGATTGACTATTCAATTTGCAGAACACCTTCAGGTATATCTTTGGAAATAATATCATGTCATTAGCAGATTGCGACTTTGAATGGTCCAACAACAATTAATGGAATTGAAGAGATACCCCTAACATTTTCTCTGAACATATCTATTGAATTTTTACTGATACTTTTAGAAGCTTCATTGAACATCTATTCGAATTCTTTTGCAATACGGCTTACCTTCTTTCAAGTCCTTTTTAATGGGTAATCTTGAACATTTGCCATGTTCTTTATTATTCATTATTCCTGGACAGAACAAACCAGTATATTTTTTTAATACAAATTATGTTCTTCCGTCTTTAATTTTTGCCCCATAAAACTACTTTGCTCAAGAACTTTGTAGTATTTTATGACTGTATTGTATTGTCTATAGAAAATGTAAGGAATAGAACAATTTTTGCTCAAAACGAGTGTAGAACTTCATATAAAAAATGTTATATCAGGCATTTAGCTTCTGTAGATATTTGTCAAGGGGAAATCTCTTATTAATCAGCTTACAGTCAGAAACTCATAATTTCAAATAGAAATCCAATGAAATTTGTAGAATATTCTTCTGAAAATGTAGTAAAATTCTTTGAAGATATATTTTCACCAAGGTTGTTTGCACTATTGAATATTTTCATAGATAAAACTTGATAACGAACATTGATTCTACAGGTTCTTACTACTGCGCCCCTTGCGACAAGTCGTTTACATCCGAAAACAGCTTCGCTCAACATGTAGAGAGCAAAAAACACAAAAACCAGGTGAATCCAAAACAACCGGCAAATCAATCCCAACAGAGACTATCGAACCAAGACAAGTATAAGAAACATAAATTATGAGGAATTTAATGTCTATAGCTATATATTTTTTATTTAAAAAAGCTAAGATATTCTTGTCAAAATGTTGTATTGTCTGACTAATAAAAACTACGTTCTATATTAATCATTCATAAGCAACCCTTTCAAGTCAATTTTCAAAAGTGAGTGTTTGAAAATAAGACTTTTCACAAAGTGCAATTTAACTAGGTAGCATTATCGTGTTCCGATCGTGTTGTTATGCCGCAGATTTGGCCAATTGGGTTATTTTTAAATATTCAGAAATCCAGCATTGTCAGCGTGACACTCGTCGGTATAACTGGATTATGGTGATCAAGTAATGACACATACCTAATTATGTATTTAAGAGACGGCTTGGGTATGCAGAAGGCAGATCCAAAGCCGGCTCCGGTATGTGTTAGTTGTAATCTTTGTAATCAATCAGATGACATAATTAAAGTCAAAAACTCTCATATTTAAATACCTATAAACTGTTGATTGGATTTATCCCTTCTAGCATAGAACCTACAATAAAAATAAGTAGCCCCCCCCCCCCCCCCATTTGTGGAGATCCCAAACGCCATTATCGTTGCGATATAAAAAGCTCGGGTAAAAAAAGATAGAACAGACCGGTTAATTTTTTAAAATGTAATTCGTTTCAATTATTCACAATTTCTGATGCTGGAGAGACATTTGTCGAAATTACACTGGATGGGTCAATAACTTCATATTCCTCTGAAGTCGAGGGTTCGTTGGAGCTGGAGCCACTGGATTTCGAATCTTCTTTTTCATTAGTGAGTTCTGATACCTCAGGATCACGGGAATTAGTTTCCTCTACATCTTGGTCTGGGGAGATAGATTCATCTTGTACATTTAATTTGACAGCTGCAAAAAAATTAAAAGTATTAAGCAAGCAATCATAAAAATTTATGAAAGTTGAGTTCAATTGAGTTCAATTGTGTCACTCTTAAAGAAATCAAACATTATCATCTGTCAAATATGACATTATTATATACCATATGTCAACTTTCATAGAAATTCAGTCCGACTTCTTCCTTTAAAGATTTTTGAATTTCAAATTGAATTTTCTGCATATCTCACCGTAGAAATACCAAGTCTCGGATTAATAATGTTTATTCCCTTAGAGAGTAGAAAGTACGATTCTAACCTCGCTTCGCTCGGTTAGATCGTAGTTTACAGTTCTTACGAGAATAAAATATCGTGCGCCTCATGAAAATGAAGTATTTTCTGACGAAATGTGAGTTTATAACCCGAGCTGAAACGAAAATACTTAACTCCCTAGAGGCACAATATACTATTTCAGTTTCTAGCACAGACATTAAGATGTCCGAATAAACACTGACGTCTTGAATCCGGATTATGCGAACTCATTTTGAAACTTTTGGGAGCGTCAAACTAAAACTTCGAACAGAAGTTTCACGTGATCACTTGAAATTTTTTAATCTAGTCCCGGATAGATAGATTGCACCATATCACCTACATAGTTTTGTTCTCTCTTTTTCATATCAGACTGTATTATACTAAAGTCAGCATAAGTTTTTACTTCTCTGGGTACCCCCACTTCACGTAGTTACCACTTGTAACCATGTCCCCCACTCCTAAAATCAATGTTAAAACTTATGCTGACTTCAGTATACTTATCTCAATTACACTTATCTCTCTTTACTCATTTTGGCTACATAGATTTTTTAATAGCATTATTTCTTGCAATAAGCTTCGTATGTCAATTTTGAAAAATCGCTGCATTAACTTGAAATTCAGCACGAAGTTTCCGCTTAGCAATGAAATATTTGGGACTGAAGGAAGGCTAAATCGGATCATTAACTCATGAAGTATTCAACTTTGGTTCAAATTGAACTATGCAACAGATTTCAATTTTTCACATCTATATCTCAATCAATCATAATATGTATACTCCTCCATACTAAGTATTCGAGATATTCTAAATTTGCCTTTTTTTTTCAAAACAAAACAATAGAGGACATGTCGAGGAAAAAAAAAGAACTATAATTGAAACTATGATTACTTTAATATAAACCAGGTGAGTACCTTGAATAAGTCAAGGCAAGTCGATGCGAGAGTAAGAAAGTGACAATAAAGGCGACGAAATAAGCACGCCGCGATAGTACCGTGCAGGTCCCTCGATTATCCCTGAGATTCCCGGACCCCCGAGCCCCCC